AGAAGAAGAAGAAGAAGAAGAAGAAGAAGAAGAAGAAGAAGAAGAAGAAGAAGGAGAAGGAGAAGGAGAAGGAGAAGGAGAAGGAGAAGGAGAAGAAGAAGAAGAGTTACCTAGCGTATACCCACGCTCTACAGCTAGTTATTTGCGCTTTACAACCATTATTTCCCCCAGCAGACCTTATAGACCGCTCAGAAACATTTTCGTCTTCTCGGGAAGCATACAGTGCAAACTGCGGATTGCACGCGCTCAAACACTAACAAAAATGATTAGATCTTCCGCTGTCTATAACAAACTGGACGCACATTCCATCACGGGTGAGAAAAGGAAAATTCGTAAAAAGTGCTTTTCCCAAGGACACAACGTCGCATCGCCACTGGATGACCGAAGAAAACGACTCGACCGAAGAAACGACTTCGCGAGCAACGAAGAGGAGCCAAGCCATTCCACAGCTTACGCTGGTGTTTACTTATAATAGGCCTACTTATAACAATATGGAACCACCCCAACCCCCCTCCCCCCGGGCCGTGCTGCTGACTGAAGTGTCTTTAGGCCATTCCATTCCCAAAGGGGGGGGGGAGGGGGACATTAACATCTCGAGTTCTTATGCAAAGTAGAATTGTAATTATATATGAGCTGATTCATCAATGTCATGCTCATAACTGTGTCTGAACTACAACAGGGAACTGCTGCTTTTTCTTTCCTAATCCTTACTATCGTCATTTTTCCTCTACTTCTTTTGTAGGTTTGTCACCCCCTGGTGACCCGCTATTTCCGGGGTGCCTTGATAGTCGAAACAGACTTTGTGTTGTAGAAGCTAGAGAGGTGAGCAGAGTAAGTCTGATTCCGTGTAAAGACGTCTCTGTTGACACCCACCCCTTGGCGCTCATATGGCCTTATGCAGTTGCCAGTGCTGTAAAACCTCTACAAAAACTTTTAAAATAATATTATGGGTCACGACGCGGTAAAATGAGGCGCTCGTCAATTTTTGGAGATGCATAATTAAAAAATAATTGGTATCATTTAAAAGCTAATTTATTTGTCTTGCTTTCGTAGAAAAATACTCATCTATCATGAATAGAAGTCAAGATATTTGCGATTGAAGGGGGTGAGGTCGCCTGGTTTCAGACGTAAAATTAGCGAAAAAATTACCTTCAACGTTTGGCGACTTTCAAAGCTTGAGAAACTGCAAAAGTTATATTCTGTGCCTTAAATCAACATTATTCAGTAAAAACCCAAACAGAAATGTGTTTTTAACTAGAGCTTAAAGATATTGAGTAAAAAAAAATCCAGTCAAAAATTGCCAAACGAACAAAAAAATGCCACACCTCTTCAATTTCATGATTTTGACGAGGACCTGGTTTCATCGCGATGCCTCACATAGAAGAAGTATGTTTCCGCGCGCTGGACAATTTTTATCAATTCTTTGTTTTGAGGACAACGCCTTCTATGTCCATTTAAAAATACATGTCTGGTTGGATTTTAGTTAAAAACACTGATTAATTATAAAGGCACCAGACAGGAAAATGTTAAGTTTCCAGGGACACTCATGCTTTGGAAGTCACTAAATTTTAGCGCCACTTTCTCGTTCAGATTACTTCAGAAACCTGGTGACCCCTACCTCATTCAATCCGAAATATCTCGAGTTCTATGGAAGAAAGATGGTAATTATTTTCATCAAAAGCAAGAGAAATGGACAAGCTTTAAGATGATACCAATAACTCTATATGGCCTAAAATTGACGAGCACCTGATTCCATCGCGTTGTGGCACAGATTATTAGTGCTGAAATGTTATCTGAAAACTTTAAAATGGAGTTCTTAAAAACTGCTCTTTCACGTCGATGAAGGTAGGGAAAAAATAGCATACTTTATTTTGCCCTCAGGGTTCTCTACGTACTGATAAGTTCATTTTAAAAAGTGCTTGTCTCGAGCACGGTCCAAATTGACGTCAAAGGGAGAGTGGGGGAGGGGGGGGGTTGTTCATCGGACTGAGGTCGTAGGAGAAAGACAGAATACAAAGGCTCCACAATTTCTTTAGTTCCTCCTTCTAACTGTTTTTGTAAAGTACAAGAATTAATTGTTGTCTTTTCTCGTTGATGTGGTTTTGGGAGAGGAGGACGCTTTTTGGGGTGTTGGTTGTTGTTGTTTTTTGGGGGGGTTGGTTTTTTTGGTTAAGTTTCTAAGGTTTTTGCTTTTTGTTAGGTTTTTTTAGGGGTATGGTGTTAAGCGTAAAGGAGCCCATCGACACAATGACGGCGCATCAGTGCAGTGAAAAGGTGAGACAGACAGACATTAACAACAGAAGGAGAAAAAAAGTAGAACCTTCAGTTGAGTGGCTCCTTACTCCTTACAAAGAGCAGCAGTTCAAGTGAAAATTTAGTTTCCCCAATTTCTTTGTCAATGTATAAACATATATCGTATATATTTTCTAACTTTTTGTCAAAATCTAATCTGTTTCTTTTGTGCTCGTTACCGGGGGTGGGGGGGATAATGATAATTTATACATCTACATTAATCCCACACTCGATAGGAGCATATTGCAACGAAAAGTTACATTTTCCGTGCATGGGCACTGACAGACAGACAGACAGACAGACAGACAGACAGACAGACAGACAGGCAGACAGACAGACAGACAGACAGACAGACA